TAAAAAAAAAAAAAAAGAATAAATAAATAAAATAAAATTTTACAAGGGTATACAAAGCCTTCACATAAAGAAACAAAGAGGGAAAACATGAATAAAGGAAAATAATGTAGCAAATCACCATAGTTTCAAATTGTTTTAAACTACTGAAAGGTCTTAGTAAATCTGGTTCATCAGCTTGCAAATGCTAACTTTTTTCTCTTTTATTTTAAGACATTATGTAAAGAACTTCTGACTAGGTGTCAGAAAATCTGTACTCTATTCTTGGCTTTTTAAATGGGTGATTTGGGCAAGTTAATTAGCCTCTGTTCCTCAGTTTGCTCACTGATAAGAGGTGTGTTAACTCACTAGATGATTTTCAGTGTATCTCTCAATTCTAAAATAATGTGAGTAACCAAGAGAAAAGAGTCATTACCTTATTATAACCACTGATGGGTGAGTAGGTCACTCCAGGGCTGTAAGAACCACTACCACCTGAGGACAGACCTTGTAGTTGAGGGCTGTATCCAGTCATACAGCTGGTAGTGAACTTGGGACTGGTGCTGGGTGAACGGGATGGGCTATAACTCAATACACTCTGACCCTGAGTTGAAAGGGAAGGTGGAGAGGGAGGGATTTGTGCTGCTGTCAGGTCATGCGGAGGAGTAGTCTGTACAACTAGAAAAAAAGGAACATACTTTCTTCTCATATATTATACACACACATACATATACACACAAAATTTCTATGAAAACATATTTAAGGAACTAAGCCTTCTTCTTCAGGAAAAAAGAAAGCAACAGAGTAACTTGGTAAATCATATAAAGTATTATTAACAAAAGGAAGAAATTATTTACCATTTCCCAGAGTTCAAAATAAGCAATTGGCTTCAGTACAAGAATTAGTCTTTTAATTTTAACTGAATAATGAAACAAATTTCTATGAAGTCGTTGAATTTATATAGTAAGAATAATCATGGATATTAAGATAATTTATTTATTTTTTGATACAACAGTCTTATTATGTCGCCCTCAGTAGAGTGCCATGGTGTCATAGTTCATAGCAACCTCAAACTCTTGGGCTCAAGTGAGTCTCTTGCCTGAGCCTCCCAAGTAGCTGGGACTACAGGCACCCGCCAAACTGCCTAGATACCTTTTTTTTTGTTGTAGTTGCCACTGTTGTTTAGCTGGCCTGGGCCAGGTTTGAACCTGCCAGCCTGGGTGCATGTGGCTGGCGCCCTACCTACTGAGCTACAGGCGCCGCCTTAAGATAATTTACTGTAGACCTGCTTAATATAGTTGAACCAGATGGCTTTAGAAGTACCTTCCAGTTCAGAGTCTATGAGAAGAGAAAATTAAATGAGGAAGATTTATTGCCAACCTTCTCCGTACCTTTACAAGAGATATAAAACACTTACCAGCTGTTTTCAACCCTAAAAGTGTTCGCTGTCCAGGGCTAACAACCAGACTTGTTGGTGCCACAGTATATTTGAAATATTTCCAAAAATCAAATAAGGCATTAAGGCTGAAAAGAGATGCAAGGGCAAACTCTGGAAGAGAATAATTTGTTTTTTTAAAAAAACAGTATGTAGAGGCCACTTAGTGGGGGGACAGGAAAACCCTCCATACTTCAGCAAATTAACAAAAAAATTAAACATTACTTTCTTATTCTCTTTAATATTAACCGTTACCATTTAATGTCTAGGAAATTTACTGGTGAGTTTTCAAATATCACTAATCCTTACGATCTTGTACAATAAATATTTTCACCTTCATCTTAAATCAACAATAAATGAAGTTAAGTAACTTTTACAAGAGCACGTAGCTAGTTATAGAAGCCATGATTCTAAGGTCAGCAGACTGCAAATCCCTTGCTCTTCCATTTGCCACACTATTTCCTTATGACAAACTTTAGATTAACATGTACAAACTGCAGTATTTAACATCCATAATGACAAGCACAGACAGAAGAGAGGAAGGCATCAACAGAATGGATAAGTGGGCTGGTCTTGAAAGGTGAAAAAGCAGAGACAGAAAAAGGGCATTTCAGGAGAGTAATAAATATAAATCTCACTATGTCCAAACTTGGTTTTTCTTCACAGAACTCATAATTACCTGTTAATTATATTGTTTATTAATTTGATGGTCTCTGCTACTAGAATGTTCCTTCCATAAGGAGGTTCTACTGTGTTCCCTTCCTCTGTATCCCAGCTTTTAGAACAGAGTAAGCACTCAAATATTTGTTGAATGAAGAAATGAATGCTAAGCTGAATTAAACCTAAAAGCAGTTTTGCATTGGTTGTAAATCTAAATTACAGTGAAAACTACTTACCAATATACCAGAGGGGCCAATATGTCACATTATAATATGAACTAATCAACTTTCCAGTCCTGAAAAAATTGGAAAGTCTTTTCAGTAACTTAAAAACACTCAAAATCAAAACTCAAAAACTTGTCAATGGCTTCTTACATTTTCACTTTTGTGGCTGATTTAACTTACATTTCAGTGTATATCATTCCAGCCATAGATACATTTAAGAGTCCCCAGGCTAAAACCACTTTCCTGGCCTCAGTTTCTTTTCTCATCTTGATGGTCCTGTCAATAAGGGAAGCACTAGGGTTTGGCTCCCCTTGCATCTATTAAAAAAAAAAAAAAAAGCACAGGAATTAATCAAAAGAAAATTATTTCTCAAGGAATCAAAATTTTTGTCCTTTATAAAGGTAACGAAAATACACACATCTTCCCTAATCTTTAAAATGTCTTACCAAAACTTTCTCCATTTTTAGTATAGTAAAAGAGAACACTAAATTGTATCTCCATTGGTATCATAGTGTAATCAACAGAGAACTGGCTATTTCAGAGAACAATTTAGTACTTCTGATAAAAAAAAAAAAAGTCTTATTTTGTTATTTAAAGGCTGGCTATTATTTTGCAAGGACTAGGCAGAGGGCTACTTTCAGAAACTCAAGGTATCAAGTTTTGGGAGAAAATATTCCATATATGCTATAAATCATAAAGACTTCTCCTACAGCTTTAGGCAGAAACCATTACTATTTGAACCTAAAACAACTGTACACCTGGACTGCTGTATGCCAGGGATCTCCATTTTGTGTGCCAACAAAGAACAAGGGTTTAAGTTTTAGAAAGGCGGGCACTCAAGGTGTGAAGGGATTAGAAAGTGGGGAAAGTGTGCCTTAAGTTTTACTCCAAGTTAGGAATTATATTTCATTTGATTTGCTAGGCTCAACTCTTGTAGACAAGTGGAAAACTTGTTCTAGCAGGTGTTTTACCCCATAGAGCACAGAACGGGACCCTTCCCGCCACCTAGCCCCGCGTCCAAACTTCCCAGTCCAGAGGGCTTCTTCCCTGGCACCCTCACTCAGCACACCCTTTAACTATGGCTTCCTTCCTCGTCCTACCACGGTTGGGGGTCCCCCCAGCCACATCCTCCCGTGGCTGAAGCCCGTGGAGATCAGCAGGCGCGGAACTTCTACAGCCTGCGAGGACTCCACGTCCAGGAAGCACAAAAATGACCCCAAGAACGCACCATGCTCTCCGGCCGGAAGCCGCGGGCTCGCGCCACTCTCTACTGCACATGCGCGAAGCTGAGGGCTACGCTAGCGCCGAGACTACAGTTACCGGAAGAACAGGGCCGTCTCTTCTCGCGAGAAGGGGAGGAGGCCGGAGGGACAGGAGGCTGGGAGCGTTACCAGGGAAACAGCTCTCGGATTTGTGGCTCCCACTGAGCTGCTGGGAGAAAGCTGAGCAGCAAAATTCAGACCAGGTTCTGAACTCCAAGTAAAAAGTAATAACTATAACAAGCTGAATTTTGTATATGTTAATATATTTTTAACTTCCTTAGGGCCTTTATGGACTCACATTTGTAAGCATAGTAAGCAGGGTGGCTAATTGTTGGATATATAGTGCAGGATAAAGTGTCCAGACATCATTGGCAATGACAAAGCATTTCTTTTCCCTTTCTTATATGGCAAGAGTTCTGACTCGATGTAAATTGTTAAATATACAAGTAATGAGGGCGCAACAGTAGCAAGCAAACCCAAATTTTGTTTTATTGAAGTTGCTAGTGGTTTTGAGGTTAAAGAATAATAATAACACGTTTTCCTGGGTATTCTTTGGGAGAACTAATCCTAATGAAAAGGTTCATAAGGAAGTTGAGTTTGGTTTTATTTAACAAACACAAATGCCTATAGTGTGCCACTGAGCCAGGCGCAAAGATAAAGAAAATTTTTGGTTTATTGCAAGGAGGAGCTCAATCTGGGAATGGCCGAGGAGTCTTGGAGGAGCCCCAGGGCGGCAAGCTACCTGGAAGAGGTGACACCCCTCCCCCCTAGATAGATGGCCAACGGCCAGGAACAACAGGACCTGAGGACTCAAAATTGTTCCGCATAGGGAGAAACGGTGCCTCCTAATAAAATCATTAAGCCTGTCATAATAAATAAGCTAGTGGATCATTACATCATGGATGGCCAATGACCAAAATTTTTTCTAAAATGATTCTAAGATCAAATAGAAGAAAATGAAGTTTCCTCATGATTGTATATTAGTGAAAATCTGTAGGTATGCTGTGCTCTTAATGATCTAATAGATTTTTAAGGGTGATTTTTATCATTTATTGATACCCTTAGCAGCAACATTATTTGTTCCCATTTTGGATTTAGATATGAACTAACTTGAAAAGTGTTCAGAGTGAAAAGGTTCAATATATGGTCAAAATTAGAATACCAGTTTCCCACCTCTCTCACATCTGACTCTTTCCTAAGAAGAAATTATACACACTTGATGTAGTTCATTATAGGCACACCTATGTTTCCCCTCACTTAATGTAATCTATAAGCTATTGTGCATTTATTCAAGGTCTAAAAAAGAACACTACTGACCAAATTTGATAGATAGTTGGTATTTTGCATTGGGGTTGCTATAACAAAATATCATGGACAGGGTGACTTAAAAAACAGAAATTCACTTTTCAAAATTTTGGAGGCTGGAAGTCCTCAAGATGTCAGCAGAGTTGATTTCTCCTGAGGTCCGTCTCCTTGGCTTACAGATGGCTACCTTCTCCATGTCCTCAGATGGCCTTGTTTTTGTGCTCTTGAATCTTTGGTTGGTGTTTCTTTCTCTTCTTATAAGGATACCAGTTATATTGGCTTAGAGCCCAACTCTTAGGACCTCATTTAACTTTAATTACTTTTAAAAAGGCCCTATTTCCAAATACAGTTAAATTGGGGGTAAAGGCTTCAATATATGAATTCTGGGGAACACAATTTAGTCTGCAATATATTCAAACAATGTATCTTAATTTACAGTGGTATGATACATATAAAAGAGACTATATCAAAATAAGTGGATAACTTAGACACTTAGATGTAAAGATATGAAAATACATTATATATAAATTTTAGTAAAAAAAGATCAAGGCATGGTGGCACCCATGGCTCAGTGGGTGGGGCACTGGCTACATGCAGGCAGGCTGGCAGGTTTGAACCCAGCCCTGGCCAGCTAAACAATGACAACTGCAACAACAACAACAAGAAGAAGCCAGGTGTTGTGATGGGCCCCTATGGTCCCAGCTACTTGGGAGGCTGAGGCAAGAGAATCGCTTAAGCCCAAGAGTTTGAGGTTGCTATGAGTTATGATACCACAGCACTCTAC